TCAGGAAAATTGCACAGCGGGTGATCACATTGGGAAGGCAAGTGAGTTTACAATAGACTGTATTTGGGTAATCAAGAGCAGTGCTGGAGAATGACATCATACCTTCCTTCCTGGAGGCATGCCAGCCCAGATCCTCCCTCCCTCTGCCCTCACCCTCGTCCCCTGTGCTAATCTCCTCTTGATGTAGTGTCCTGGCTGCCTCCTGGTCCAGGCTGGCCACTCAGTCCTCACTCTAGTCCTCTTCTACTTAAACCCCTCCCTCTTGTCCTGCCTGCTCCATTGCCACCGGCCCAGGTGTTTCTCTTCCTGGGCCTCTCTGCTTCCACCCTACCTCCAAGCCCAGCTCACGTTGTTCCCTGCCTCCTGCAGGACAAAACCTTGCATGGCGCCCATGCTCTTAGCCCTGTTGATGTTTCCATCCCTTGCTTTTACTGTGGGAGTGCTGGCTGCATTCTGATGGATGGTGACGGGGACCTCTCTTCCCTCGTGTTTGCTGGCTTCACTTACCTGCCGGGCCCGTCCTCTGCTCACCTGTCTGCCAAACGTGTGAATGTCCACCCAGCCCCTGCCTCTGGGGAGCCCTTCTTGACTGCCCGGATCTAGGTGTCCCTCTACCTATACCCCTGCCGCACTGTGTACAGAGTTCCAGTATCTAGAAAGTTCCTCGAGAGCAAGGACCAATTTGTTAGGAAGGTATCCCATAGACATTTATGGATTGAGTGATGGTTTCATATCTCAATACTCTTGAGAACATATTTCCCAATAATTCCCATCTTAATGCTCTGTCTTTGTGAAGTGTCCCAGGGTAAACACCCATCATCAAATGCTAAGGAAACATAAAGAACTCGTGTATAGGTGTCCCTATCATGGCTTTTATGGATGTAGCTTTGGACGAAGGCAAAAAGGAATTGGCTACCTGTCCAGGCTGCTGGCAGACATTCAGAGACCCTTACCAGCCCATGAGTTCATTAGCTACATTTTATTAACTTACGGACATTACTTTTTCATGTAATATGTAGTGGAAAGTACATACCACCTGGTGACTGTCACCTTTATACAGATAGGTGGATATTTGAGAGTTGAACAGGAAGAGATTAACACCAGGGAAACATGAGTCAGAGAGATCCTGGGCGTCTTCATGTGTCCCTGAGCAATGCCATCCTCTCGTGTGATTCTTCCTCCTGGCATCAAGGCAGGTCCTCCCTGCTATAGCAATGCCACCGTGGTAGATTTTGATAAATATTTGATGAAGTCAATGCATGTACAAAAAACTAGATGTTAGTTCCTGATTTCTGTGTGTAGTTTTGTGTTTCATGGAACCCAAGACAAACTCCCTTAGTACATCTTACCCCTGTCTAACTTGATTTTAATAATTTGGAAAACCAGCAGATTCAGTAGTGGGCTGGCTTGTTTGGCCTTAGAATAAATGTGTCCTTAGCTGGTAGGATGTGATGATGGTTAGCCTGTGTCTTAACGGTTAAGTCTTGTTCTCAAAAGTTGTTTCAGTCTTGAGATGCCAGTACACATGCCCGGGAGACTTGAGGCTAAAGAATGAGCCTCTTGACCCAACTACTTGCTTTAAGAAGATGATAAGTGAGATCACTGGGCTAGTTTTAAACTTTTATTAACTTGAGGTTTCTGGGTAGAAAGATCAAAGAGAGCAAATCATGCTGTGCAGCAATTTTTCAAGTAAGCAAATATATTTGGTTCAGGACTTTGTTTTCCTGATGGAGGTTTCTGTGTCATTAGAAGGAATCCCAGTAAGGCTGGGTCAGAGCTGACGGTGGTAATTATCTTGACAGGAGAAATCTGAGTTGGTGCAGAAGTCAACATTTAAGGTTTCTGATTAAATTGATCCTTTGAAATCAGAATGTGTCCTGTTCATAGGTATGAGAAACGAAATACGTTACCCTTTTAAATATAGCTGCATCATCAAAACAGGATCTAAAGGCAAGGTTTGGCTCAGATTATGCTAGTTTCATGTAAATAATAAATCCTGCAGGGTTTAAGGAAAACCCATGGTTTTTCAGCATTAATGAATTCCTGTATTTATGAGCCGCAGGGCTTTGAGCATTATTGGAGATTTTTGCATGCTCTCTGATCTTCCGTTGAGCCAGGAGTGAGGAGAGAGGGAAGGACGTGCAAAGTGGGTCATCGGCTGCCATGTGGGACGATTCTATCCTTAGGGAGCACAGTATATGGAGCGTAAGATGGAGGTCACCAAGCACTTTTCCAGCTCCAGGTAGAGGGCAGTCTGTTTGGTCATATGCTGTTACGTTACAATTTGAAGACACGTTATCTTAAAAGAATATGTCAATGTGATCTTTTATTCTTAATTGTGAACCTCTTTTGAGTAGTCATAAAAACCTGTGTAATATTTACATTCCTTTCTGGATTGCCCAAGGAAGAATTCCAGGTAGACTATGTTTTCTTGGTGGATAAGTGTTAAAGATTTAAGTCCTCAAAATTCACTTTAACCATCTTTTGAAAATAATTTTTTTTTATTTTTTAATTGTAAATTTTTGAGTAGGTAATACATTTACCCCATGGTTTAAAGGTATTAAAAAAAAGGCTTAAGGACATCCTTCATCTGTCTGGGTTCCTAGTCTCTTCCCTGAGAAACTAAACATTGTTTTATATGTGTTATGCAATATGTTTTTATCCGGAAAAAAACTAAGAATTTTAATATTTCCTACAACAATGTTACCGTAGAAGATTCACTTCCCAGATTTTGTAAATAATTATAACCCGACAGTTTTAAAACTCTAATTTTATGTTAAATAATAGTATTGATTGGCATAGACATTGTAGAAAGAGAATCCAATGTTATTTAGGACTCAAAAAATGACAAAGCAATTACCAATCAGTAAATAAGTTTTATTTCATTTTATTTTTTTATTTAAATTTAATATATTCATTCCTTTTTTTTTTTCTTTTTACGGTCCCACAGACATGTATACGGAAGTAAATAAATTTTAAAGTAAGTTTTGGTAGGACATATAGGAGTGATATCAGGAGAATGAATTTGTCTGTTGTGGTAAATCGTAGAGTCTAGAATCTAGATAGTCAAAGAATTGGGGGTTTTTTTGTTGTGTTTTTATAAAATTATGACATATACACATTTATGTATAGGTTTATTTAAATTAGTCATAATGGGCTTGAACATATTAAAGTAGCATTTTGTTGGCTTATTGTATAAAGATTTTTTATTTATATAATGTGTTTCTACTCAATCCAATTTCCAAAATATGTGGGAACGGCAGCGCCATGGCATAGAAGCCTGGGTTCTGACTCTGAATCTGACCCATAGAATCTGTCTACACCAGGGCAAGCAGCTCCACACCCGTGATCCCCACTTCCCTATACAGGGTTCCTGGGAGGATCAAAAGAGAGGGAAAGTGAGAACACCCTGTGAACAGTAAAACACTATGTGATTATGATGTTACGTGACAAATATACTTTCTAAGAACACTTAGGAAATAAAGGAACATTAACCTCAGATATTTGACAAGTTGTCCAATAGATCATTTTTCATTAACATAGTGACTCTAATAATTTGTTCTTCCTTCAGGACTGTACTATTAAGACAGTATTAACTGGGTTGTTTTCTCCATATGCTATGGAAATGGCAATCACTAATAAGCCACTATTAATAATTGCTAATAATAAAGAGTAATATATAAATACTTTCCCCTGTCTTCAAGTATTAATGAAAATGCAAAGGATATTTTAGTCATTTTAGAACTGAGAATTATCATGTATTAATAGAAATATGAGTTCTTTAACCATCTAATGCAACCATAGGAAATGAAGGCGTTTTTTTTCAGATTTTAACTTGGAGTATATTGAGTATATTTTGCCATTGGTTCTTGGAACATGAATACTGAGGTTTCTTTGTCTATTTTCCTTCATGCAATCACTGTAGTAGTTTGCCCCTCCCTGAACTATGAGGAAATAATTACTAATCGCTTATAAAGCTGTCTTAGGTTTGTTTGTTACCGGAAATGTGGATGGCATAGAGAAAGCCTATTAGAATAAGGAAAGATTTTTTTCTTTATTTAACAGTTTCTAAGTGTCTTCCCCCCCCCCCAGATTTAGATATGTTTTGATTATTTGACTTGTTTATTTCAAGAAGCTAAGCAGTTTTTCCTGTTTTTTCCGATTTTGTTTGGTATTTAAAGTGCCTGACATGTTTGGAGCAGTTCCAAAACTGAGCAGTTTTTCATTTACAATAGAGTAATTCCCTGGGCACCATGGCATTAGGAAGAGAATAATCACAGCATGACATCTTAGATGGATTTGGAGTGTTAGCATGTGCTTTTAAAAAAAAAAAAACATTTAGAACCATTATCCCTGCTGGCAGAAAAAGAACCAACAAAGTTTGTGTTTGATAGAAAATGGAGTGGTGTAGTCAGACGTATAGCACTCTTAACAATGAACTTGACAAGAAGCAAAATGTGAGTAGATTTTCAATGTATGTGACGATTTATTAGAGATTGGGAAATGACACATTGGCACTATAAATCTCTATAATGACCAGGCCACCCTCAGGGAAAGGATGAGATGTTTGTAGAAAATGTGGAGGAGGGAGGGAAAGACATTTCAAGCCCAACCATCTGTGTTTTTCTCTCAGCATCTGTAATCAGAATAGTTAGGAACTCTGTGCCAATTTAACTGGGAAATTAGAAACTATGAAATCAACATCACTTTGCACACAATTGTTGTGTTTCTGGGTTGCTGACTCTACTTGTTTTCGTGTTCATGACCCTCTGCTCCATGTAAATCTTTTAAAGTCAGAACCGAAGGCATCGTCTGTGTTTGTGAATTCCAGCCGTCTAGATCTCTGATTAATTCCAGTTCTCATCCCTACGCGCCCCTTATGTGACCATAACTTAAATGCTTCTCTGTGGTTTATCTGGCTGTTTCTGAACCCACGTGGTGGTGGTAGTGATAAAAATTAACATCGCGTATCTCTGTGCCTGTGTTAATTCCTTTTGCAGTTGAAAAGGGCAGGCAAAAGAACCCCAGAAGTTTATGTATCCAGACCCAGACGTCTCCAGATGTGCTCTCCTCCAAAAAATCCCTTGAATTGGCTCAGTATAAGACGAAATGCGAAAACCAGAGTGGATTTATCCTGCAGCTCAAGCAGCTTCTTTCCCGCGGTAATACCAAGTTGGAAGCATTAACAGTTGTGATTCAGCATCTTCTCTCAGAGGTAAGGATGGGTGCACCCTTGGAATCGTCTCTCTCACAGAGGTGGGGGGTGGGGAAACGGGGACAGGGCTCATGCTCATGTCTGGTGACTATCTTTAAGTCAATGATTGGAAAGATCAGGTACAATTGATGCAGTTTCAACTCACCTGCTAACTGAGTCAGTCTCCAGACATTTCGGATGGGAACATTTTCTTACTTCCTTTTCTCCCTTAGAGTCTCTTGGTTAGAATGACCATGGCAAAAAGATAATTGCCTGTTAGACTTCTATATGCTTCTGCACCTAAATTAGCATTAACTTTTTTTTCCTGCTTAATTTTTTTGTCGAACCCTATGTAGCTTTCTAGATCCCACTTCGTTTCATGCTTTGGAAAAAATGAGGTTAATTACGTTTAAAGTTTAAAGGTCAAAGAACACTTTCGAGACTCTTCCTGAAATTTCCATCCATTCCTAAAATAATCTGTGGTCCCACAAAAGCAAAGCAGATTTTCTTTGTTCATTTCCTCTTCCCCGATCATCTACAGGGATGTTAATTCAGGAACTGCTTAAAACTCGTCGAGAAAACCAAAGTGTATGTGAACATATGTTACTGATATCACAACAAAAACACTAATTATCTGAGGGGAAAACTGGAGTAAGAACATAACTTGAGCTCTTTAGATATTTTATAATCACAGTTGTTTTAAAGGCGGATAGAAATGATATCTCCAAAGAAGAAAACTGTTCCGTTTGGTGGTTCTATGGTTCAGTTCAATCCAACAAACCTATACTGATCTCATATAGAGCCTTACTGCGAAGTGGTAGCCTATTTAGGGAGGGGGAGGCAGAGGTGAATGAGACTTGGTTTTCTCCCTTTGAGGAGCTACCAGGATAATAGATGAATATTTTACATTGGTGAATATTGGTGAATTTTACATTGTAAATGTAAAATTTTACATTTTACATTGGTGAAAATTGGTGAATATTTTACAGCTTTGTCTATGGGTTGTTTTTGTTTTTGTTTTGTTTTTTGTGTTTTTTTTGAGGAGGAGGAGAAGGTGGAGACATTTATATTTTTTGTTATAGTAGCATACAGTGTTTTTATTTCCCTTTAATATGTAAGGAAGAAACTGAAGAGTTTGTTTATATAATAACCAAGTAAGCTCAATGGGAAACCATGTGATATCAGAGGTAGGGAACAGTTAGATTTTCTATTTTAGAGATAAACCAACTATTTTGTCTTACCATATCCAGCCTAATAGCCCCATCTTCAACTCTGTTCTCTCATTCTGTCTTCCTCATGAGATCAGTCAAGTCCTGTGATCTCTCATCCACAGTGTTTCCTGCCCTCTTCTGCCTTTGCTACGCCTACTGATGCCATCCTCGTTCAGACCCAGGACAACTGTCCCCTGGACGAGGATGGCAACTGTGTAACCTATCTTCATACTTGAACTCTGTCTCCCCATAATCCATCCCAAGCACAGCAAACAGCTTTGTCTTTCCAAAGCATTCCATCCTGCTCATGAAAACCTCCAGTGGTTCTCCGTTACCTACAGCTGATCTGTCCAATATGGCAGCCACTGTAAGGCTATTGAGCATTCGAAATGTAATCGGTGTGAATCCAGATATGCGGCAAGTGTAAAATACACAAAAATTTCACAAGCTTAGAATGAAAAAAAGTTGTGAAATATCTCAATTTTTATACTGACTAAATCAAAATGATAATTTTGTATATATGTGTGTTAAATAAAATACTAAAATTTATCTTTTTCAACTTTTTTTCAATGTGGCTTCTAAGAAATTTAAAATTGCCTATGTTATACACGTTATATTTTTTTGGAAGACTCTGGTTTATAATTTGGAGACTCTATAATTTGGCACCAATTGCCTTTTTTTTTTTTTTTTTGAGACAGAGTCTCACTCTGTTGCCTAGGTTAAAGTGCTGTGGCATCAGCCTAACTCACAGCAACCTCAGACTCCTGGGCTCAAGCGATCCTTCTGCCTCAGCCTCCCAAGTAGCTGGGACTACAGGCATGCGCCACCATGCCCAGCTAACTTTTTAAATATATTTTTAGTTGTCCACTTAATTTCTTTCTATTTTTAGTAGAGATCGGGTCTCACTCTCGCTCAGGCTGGTTTCGAACTCCTGACCTTGAGCAATCCTCCTGCCTCGGCCTCCCAGAGTGCTAGGATTGCAGGCGTGAACCACAGCACCCAACCCCAACTGCCCTTTAAAATTCGGACTCCACCACTGAGTTGCTTTAGCTGCATGTTAAAGAGATGAGGGAGAAGCAAGAGGAACTTTACATTTGTTGAATATTTACTAAACGCCAGATGGTCTTAACTTACCATATTAAATCCGCACCAAACCCACAATGAGTTGGAATTTACAAATAAGAAAATCGAGGCAGAGAATTGTTAAGTAACTTGCCTGTGATCAAACAGCTAGTGTGAGGAGAAGCAGGACTTGAACTCGGGTCTAGGATATAACCAACATGCAGCGTCCTATAGACTTCCTGTACATCTTCATCCTCTGTTCAGATACCATCACTGGGCTGCTGCCCTTGCCCCTAGCACCTGCGTGCTCAGATCTGTCATATAGCAGGTTGGCATTTAACTTACGTGGATCCAGTACACAAACAACTGAAGTAAAAAAAAAAAAAATGCAAATTAAATAAAGAAGTTAGTCTTGCCTTTCCTGCCCTGCAGTGAGCAAAAAGCCCAGGAGTAGATTCTAGAAGAGGGATAGGAATGTGCTCTCCCTTCAGGGGTCTACTCAGACCCTAAGCACTTCTTGTGGCATGAACACTGTATACTCTACACAGTCTCCTGGTGTTTAACTTTCCCCACGTACAGCCTGGCCCCTCCACCAAGCCAAATCCTTTAGCAGGTGCTCAGCTGGAGAAAGAAGACTCCAACCCTAGAGGAAAATGTTTCCTGGGTTGGATCTACCATGAGAGAGAAGCTTCGTTAGTCTGCAACACGGCAAGCTCAGTGAGTTTCCAGGACTCTTGTGCTGGGTGTGAGTTTTTCCTTACAGCTAAATTTATTTCCCAGTACCCACGTAATCGTGACTCCACTGAATACAGCTCCAAAGCACCCTCCTTAATGAAGACTTTCCCGAGCCTTCTAGGTCTACGTTCTGTCCACCTTCTGGATTCCAGGATCATTTATACCTCTCTTTCATTCTCTACTTTGTATTACAGGGATCTGTTTAGTGCTCGCTTTTGGTTTTTGAGATAGGAAATTCACTGATGGCAGGACCTGCATCTGGTTCTTAGGGAAGCACCCTGGCAGCTGTAGTAGATGCACAGTATGTACATAAATGAATAAGTGAGTGGAGAAGGGGGAACTCCAGATGTTAGATGAACATAAAGTCCTTATGTAAGCATTCTTTCTCTTTATTTTATAACTAGCAAATATTTACCGATTGCCTAATATGTACTGGGTTGCTGTTATTATAAAACAACCAGAAAGATACAACCAGGGCAAAAGTTAAGTAATTAAATTCCCTTAACCCTTTAGTTTTCTCATACCCATTATAGAAGTATCTATACTGTGTATATATCTTATGAATATGTACACATACATGTTGTATGTATGTGTTTATATTTTTATATATGTACAAATATATTTTGTTTATATTTTTATATATGTACAAATTACGTATTACATGTATGTTTACGTATATCTGGTTATTGCTAACCTTTTCTAAATGGTTTTGGAGCATTAGATTTTGGGTAAAAATGACTGATTATAGGGTATCCTGGAACTGTCACTTTTCTTGCAAGTCTGTTGAATAGCTTACCCACTTCAGCGGTGGACATATTATTACATTACATGGCAGAAGGTCTAATAAATGTCTTATGTATCTAGAAACTAATGTCACACTCATTATTTCTCAAAGAACACACCCACATTAGTTTCAGCTTTTTTCTAATTCTCAGTTTATGCTCGAACGATTGCACAGTATTCCGCACAGACAGCCGAAGTGACTGACAGTGTTGATGATAGTAATCCCAGTTTCTTTTTTTTTTTTTTTCTTTAAGCTACTAAATAAGCTGACACCAGTTTCTTAATAAAAGAGTCTATACGTGGGTTTCTAGGTAAGCCTGACTAGGACCCAGGTCACCCCCCAAATCTCTGACTTCAGAGTGCCTCCGAATCATTTTTGCAAGCGAGATCGAACCTAAAGTAGTACCTAAGCAGAGGAGGGTTTTTGAATGACATTAGCAGTCTACTGTAAAGGAAATTGTCCCCTGTGTGGGTAGGTGGTGGGGAGGAGGTCACACGTAGTACATCTGAGCCATGTGATGCAGCCCTTTGCTAAAGATGATCTCTGCTGTTGATGCTTGCTCAGTAGCTAGCAAAATTCAGGCACACTGATGGGACGACAGCCAGCGACTAAGTGCTTGTGTCCCTGGGACTCCTAATTCAATTATGGTGAGTCCATTTTTTTTTTCTTGGAGCACTTCATATATTTAATGCATGAGTATAAAACATCTTTCTGTTCAGATTCCCGCCTTTCCCTTTTTTCATGTTGCGTGGAATTCTGCGGTTACAATACAAAGAGAATTAAATACACGTGTTATCTGGACTGCTAAGCGTTTATCTAAGACAGAAGCACTGGTCTAGGAGCAGCTAAATAAAAAAAATTAAATCAGTAGCTAAGTGACACAGTGCGTTTTATCATCTGTAAGTAAAGGGTAAAATACCTGGGAAGGTCAAGCTACCAGGGAGAATCAGGCAGAAACTAAGTGTTGTGTGTATTATGGGATAGGCACTGTGGTCTGCATTTTTCATATTTAGACCCTTTGGTTTTTACTATTGCATTCCTATGTTGCTTCCCCTCCGGTGAGGTCATCTGGTTTGATAGCTAACCAAAGAATTGGGCCGGGAAGTCTTAGTTCTAACTAGGTCCCAGGCTCCTTGAAGGCAGGGACCGCATCTTAAGTTTCTTCTGTGTCTTCATAGCATCTACTGTGACAAAATGCTTGGTTAGTTGGTTCTGATTAAGAGCTTGCCAACCAATCTGGAAGCATAGATGTCCTTTCTAGGTGTTTGGGCGAAGGGATGGTGTCTGTGGTTGGCAGTTAGCATTCCCAGAAGGTTTCCCAGAGGTCCTCAAACTTTTTAAACAGGGGGCCAGTTCACTGTCCCTCAGACCGTTGGAGAGTGTGCACTGTGGGCCCGGGACGAGTCGGCTGCTAAGCAGGACAGGCAGCGATGGCAAAAACACCTGGAGGGCAGGATAAATGTGCTAGGCGGCCCGCATGTGGCCCACGGGCCATAGTTTGAGGACGTCCGGTTACACAGTGGGTCAGTGAAGAAAGCCAGGCGTTCCAGAGAGGGTGGCGTTGACAAGACTGTGGAGGTGAGACGTGCATGGCACAGGTGACTTGGACAGAAGAGGGGCTGGGAGTCTGACACAGGAGCTGGTGAATCGGGACTATACAGTGAAGTTGTATGTTGTCTTTTTGTTTGTTTTTTAATGCATTCAATGAGAGGCTCTTTTTGAGGAAGAGAGTTTACGTGTACAACGAATATGATGTGTGGTGGCTCATGCCTGTAATCCCAGCACTTTGGAAAGCTGAGGCCAGGGGCGTCACTTGAAACTAGGAGTTCAAGACCAGCCTGGGCAACATAGCAAGACCCTGTCTCAATAACTAAATGGATGGATGGATGGATGGATGGCCTGGTGGCATGTGCTGCTTGTAGTCCCAGCTGTGATCAGGTCACTGCACTCCAGCCTGGGTGACAGAGTGAGACCCCGTCTCTAAAAAAGTGTGTTAAAAATTTTTTAAAGAATATGGAACAATAATCTAGTAGCCCTCTGAAAGGTGAAGAGATGTTTTCGATAGTCCAAGAATCTGGAGGTGGCACTAACAGGGAAAGTACAATGGATTCACACACATTGTGAAGAAGGAACTGGCTGAACGGTTAATACATTTAGACAAAGAATGAGGGAGAACCTCAGGCCTTTCCTGTTGCTGCTACTGTGATTGACACAGGTTGGAAGATGTCAGTGGCTTCTGAGGCATTGGGGACAGACAGCAAAGCCGAGTGCAGTGGGGTTGGGGGAAATGTCCACGTGCATACTGAAATCCCCTGTTCCCAACACCCTTCTAATAAGCAAAAATATCACCTGGTATGTATTTGTGATAGAACATAATAGTTTTCATAAAATGATGCCTCAAAATTATACCAACTGTAATTTTTAATTTTTTCATCTTCCCTTTAGTTTCTGCACATTTGAAGAGTGATTTAATTTTCTGTCTATTCTATTGGCAATTTGACTGCTATTGGAAAGTGAATTTTAAGTAAATGCACTGAATGTGTTTTGGAATTGCTTGCAAAGTTGTATTCTGGTTTTCTTGTCCCTTGAGTGACAAACTTTACTGATATTTACTTGAAGTAGATTACTAAATAAATAAAATTAAGGCTTAAATCTGAGATTAAGAGAAGTATATATTATATGTAGTTTTTTCTTTCATTATTATCCAGGCTGATTTTCATCAAACTTTAATTTCTACATTAGAGAACCAATTACTTCTTAATTTTTATTTAAAAAAAATTTTTTTTTTTAAAACTTTCTCTCACTGATTTGTGATTTCAGAACAACTTAATGCCACATTTTTATTTTTTTTTTTAAATCGAGCATTTAGGATTCCACTGAGGCCAAAAGGTACTCAGTGAAAAAGTGTTTCTTAAATTCCAGTCGCTGCTAACTGTCCACGTGACAGTGCTGGTGTTTCGCACTCGCTTCCTTGGCTCTTACTGAGAGACGAGTACAAAGTGAATGTTAAAAAATATGTGTGATGTGACCAGGTGTGGTGGCTCACGCCTGTAATCCTACCACTCTGGGAGGCCAAGGAGGGCAGATCGCTCAAGGTCAGGAGTTCGAAACCAGCCTGAGCAAGAGCGAGACCCCGTCTCTACTAAAAATAGAAATTAACTGGCCAAATAAAAATATATAGAAAAAATTAGCCGGGCATGGTGGCGCATGCCTGTAGTCCCAGCTACTTGGGAGGCTGAGGCAGGGGGATCACTTGAGCCCAGGAGTTTGAGGTTGCTGTGAGCTAAGCTGATGCCATCGTACTCTAGCCTGGGTGACAGAGTGAGACTTTGTCTAAAAAACAAACAAACAAACAAAAAAACGTGTGATGTCCAGTGCTCAAATCAGCACTTCAGACTTTTTTTTTGTAAAAACACCAATGGCCCATGTTCCATGTGGTCAAATTTAATTTGGAGGGAAACACCATTCATTCTGTAACATCATTTAACATCCTAAGTCACAAGCACCCCCTGCCATTGCCCGTCACCTAGTTCATAACCTCATTTAGTATATGGGCTTGGAAGGGCAAGTTTCCTTTTTCTATCAGTAAGTGTAATAATCTAATGACCTCAATTAGAGAGGGCAGTGAAAAGGCTCACAAATCTAAAAATAACTCCATTATCCACGCAGAGAGGGCCAGTTGTTCTCTCCGCCACTCCAGCTGATATTTAACTAAGTGGCAATCGATCAGTGCAACGTCTGCCTCTCGTTTTTCATAAATGAAGGGCTGTGGCTTTAAGTGATCGCAGGCTGCTCGGTGCCAAAGGCAGAGGCTGCAGTATCAGCTTCTGGGGGAGAGAGGAGTCCGAGGCTTACGGTAACCTGCAGGACGAAGTAAGGCTGCCCGCGGGCCAATGGCGCAGCACCTCCCGGTAGAGCTTTGAATGTAGCCAGGCCCGCCCGCCCGCCCTGTGGGTGGCACGGCCACCTGTGCACTTGTCGGCTAGTGCCAGAGGGGTGGGGGGAGCTGGAGACAGAAGCCGGAATATGGGCTGCTCCGGCAGCAAAGTGTGCCTCTATTCTCCATGTGCAGCAACGAGGGTAATTAGTGTTTGTTTATAGTGCTTTTCTGGAAGCATGGCAGGGGACTGCTGCAGAGGAGGTTGTCTGGAATGATTGGGAAATGGCTTTGAATGACAAGCAACTCTTGCTGCAAAGGCAGGTCTCATGATCTCTGCAATACCGCGCTCAAGATGCGGTAAGAGCTCTGTCTTGGGCGATCCTAGTTAAGGGCATTTTTTTCAGAGAGCTTTGAAATTCTTCCTCTCCCTCTTAACTATGCCCTGGTGCTAGGGAATGTACTTTTGTTTTAAGGCACTGTGTCTGATGACTGTATTCATGTAAGTATGATTGCTTTGAGTTGCTGGTAACTTGAAAATCATTCCTTATCCCAAGGTTGCTAATTGCTTTTTAAATACGAAAACAGCTACCTGGATTTCTCTCGTTCGTTTCTCTTAACATCTGCTTAGAATTATAGCTGACTCAAACTATGATCATCCTTAGAAGATAGTGCATGGCTGAACAAAATTAATTTTGTCTTTAAAAGCTTGCTGCAGCTTTATAACAAAGTTTTTGTCTGTCTTTTAGAAGTAAAAGGTTGGCCTTGTAACAAAAGTTTTATTATTTGCAAATGCAGGACAAAGTACGTATAAATGCCTATGTTTAGAACATTAAATATTTATCTTAAACTGATGAGATCTTTACTGCCCTTGGAGGAGGAAAACTGGACGCATGACATCTTAAGCATGGCATGCATTAGCTGAAAGGTTCTATGGATCAGCACTGAAACACGGGCTCAAAGTAAATATTTTTTAATGGGCCATTCACCGCCTCAGATGAAAGTTTCACGACGAGGACCTGCGAAAATACAGATTTTTTTGAAACACGCATTGCCTTAACAACGAAAGGACGACTGTGTTTTTTTAAACAACACAAATTGTTAGCCCAAGTGATTGGTATCTGTGGCTTCTCAGTTGTGGGGCTGGTTTTCCTGGCGATAACAAACGTGGACCTTAATGAAAAGGGACGCTCTTGCAAACGTTAGTAACTTGATGTGTGTTTTCCGCAGCGAGAGGAAGCGCTGAAACAACAGAAGACGCTATCTCAAGAACTTGTTAACCTCCAGGGAGAGCTAGGTAAGACTCTTCTTTTGTTTTTTTGTTTTGTCAAATTTTATGGGATGAGGGGAAGACAGGAAAAGTCAATTTTCCCATCTGCACTGTGTCTGGAGTTGCATGCTGGCATCCGTTAGCTCTCCAGCGCTGGTCTCTGTGCAAACGCTTAACTATCGACGTTTCTTTTGAATCTTGGCAGCTTGACCTCCAGTTCACAGAATTCCTGGCACGTGATGTGACTAAGCCTCGCAGAGCTTCTGATGACCAAAACATTTCTCTTGTTCAGGAGAGGGGACAGAATGATTTTTGTAATTATGTGAATTCCTGCTAAATAATTCCGTCATTTATTTTCTTTCTTTTTCTTTCTTTCTTTTTTTCTTTCTTCTCTTTCTTTCTTCTTCTTTCCTTTCTTTCTTCTTCTCTTCTTTCTCTTTCTCTCTCCGTCTCCTCTTCTCCTCTCTCTCTCTTTTCTTCTTCTCTCCTCTTTCTCTCCTTTCTCTCTCTTTCTCCGTGGCCTTCTTCTCCTCTCACTCTCTTTCCTCTTTCCTCCTCTTTCTCTGTCCTCTTCTCCTCTTCTTTCTCTCTTTCTCTCTCTTTCCTCTCCCTCTTTCTCCCTTTCTCTCTCTTCTCTCTTCTTTCTCTCTTCTCTCTTTCTCTTCTCTTTTTCTTTCTCTCTTTCTTTCTCTCTCTTCTTCTCTCTTTTCTCTCTCTCTTTCTCTCTCTCTCCCCTCTTTTCTCTTTCTCTCTCTCTCTTGTTCTCCTCTCTCTCTCTTTCTCCCTTCTCCTTTCTCTTCTTCTCTCTTTCTCTCTCTCTCTCTCTTTCTCTCTCTCTTTCTTTCTCTTCTCTCTCTTTTCTCTCTCTTTCTCTCTTCTCTCTCCTCTCTTCTCTCTTTCTCTCTCTTTCTCTCTTCTTTCCTCTCTCTCTTTCTCTCTCTCTCTCCTCTCTTTCTCTCTTTCTCTGTCTTTCTCTCTCTCTCCTTCTCTCTCTCTCTCTCTTTCTCTTCTCTTTCTTCTCTCCTTCTCTCTCTTCTCCTCTCTCTTTCTCTCTGCTTTCTTCTCTTCCTTCTCTTCTCGTCTCTCTCTCCTTTCTCTTCTTTTCCTTCTCGTCTCTCTCTTTTCTTCTCTCGTCTCTCTCTCTCTCTTTCTCTCCTCTCTTTCTCTCTCTTTCCTTCTTCTTTCTCTTTCTCTCTCTCTCTTCTTCTCTCTTTCTCTCTTCTTTCTCTCTCTTCCTCTCTTCTCTCTTTCTCTCTCTCTTTTCTTCTTTCTCTCTCTCTTTCTTTCTTCTTCTCTCTCTCTCTTTCTCTCTTTCTTTCTTTCTCTCTTCTCTTCTCTCTTCTCTCTCTCTTTCTATCTTCTTTCTTCTTTCTTCCTTCTTCTCTTTCTTTTTCTTTCTTTCTCCTTTCTCTCTTCTTTCTGCTCCTCTTTTCTCTCTCCCTTTCTCTCTTCGTTTTCTGATCACTTTTGAATTTAGGGTGGTGGGGATAACCATAATAACCTCTCTGATAACCATAATTACATGACACTTCCAGGGCATGGTTTGTGAGTATAAAGTTGTAAACTCTGGTTTAGTTTCCATCTCTCCAGGAAGTCCTTGGGGTGCATGGAGCAGAGGTAACACCACCTTTTACTTCAAATGCCACATTGGGTGAACTGACTTGGGGTCCCCCTGTCTGCCCGGGCTCCTGAGCCTGGAGAACCAGCTTCCTGCTTTAGCTGCAGCCAGGATCTGGCTCCGTTCACCAAAAGGCCGATTTCCTTGCCGTTGGCAGCGTTCTGTGAGTGCTGACGGCCCCCACTTTTAAAGTTATGCCTGGATAGGTATAAATAGCGCCATGGTCACAGCCAGGGAAGCAAACTGTGTTTGTCCTATTCTAGGAGAAACTATGCGTTTCTCTCTTGGACAAGACCAGAGTTTAAGCACTGCCAGTCTAATTTGCTGGACTTTGAACACTCTTAATTTTCCCCCCCCTTCCCCCCCCCCCAGGGCAAGAATCGAAGGGCAGCGAATGTGTGGGGTCAGGACTTTCTCTCTGTGTCCTCTTCTCTTGACCTCCCAGTAGCAGGTGAGGCCAGACTCTCTGGGGCTCTTAATACCCAGCCAAGGCATCAGTCCTGGCCTTATTTTAGGCTGTGGAAAGGAGGCACTCTTTATGGAAAAGTAGTTTTCAGACAGATGAAACTTCAGAACCAAAGGCTTGGGAATCCTTGTGAAATAGTTCAGGGAAACCCCACAGCTGAGAGGTGGCCCAGCTCTGGAAGACTGTCGAGGCTTCTTGCCATGTTACTGAACTTGACCGCTGCCCGTCTGATCATCCAAATGACCCACCTAATTTGCTGTCTGTCGTCTGTGCCTTGAATAACGTAACAGATGTAGAGTTGGAAGATCAGGAAAGAGCACTTTGTGTGTGTGTGTGTGTGTGTGTGTGTGTGTGTGTGTTTCAGAGTTTGTAACAGCCTGGCGGAGGTGGAGGTGACCTCTCGTGGGTCACGTTTCAGCCTCTCTCCCAAAACAAGGCAGAAAGGAGGACGGAACACTGTGCCCATTCACTCTGCTTGAATGGGGGACTCCTCTTTCTGCATTTGAGTGGACAACACAATGAAGCAACTTGAATTGGGGCTCAGGGACTCAGCACCTCCAGTGAGTCACCCGGATGGACAGGAAATAGCCGGAGTGGTTTGTCCCCACTGTCCCCTTTCCATCTGAGATAAGGGCAGTGCCTCGGTGCGCTGTTCCTGCTGCGGTCAGGGTGTCAGGATGCAGCAGTTGGCCTGTCCATGTGGCTCGGCCACCCAACACTAGCCTCTTAGGGAATGTGTCACCCCTGCCCCTGAATCAGGCAGAGTCGCTCCGGTGACAGCATATACAGCATTTCGGGAAGGGTTTTTGCTCGGTTCTGTACATGGAGAGAAGTGAAATCTGTAAAACCGCTTCTGATGAAGCAGTGCGGGAAGAAGGCACCCAAAGGCGCCAGTCGGATGGCTGGTGTCAGCATTTAGTTGAGGCGGGAAAAGGCAGGTTGACACAGGCAAAGTTGAAAACTCAGTTCCAAACACCGAGGTGGCAGAGCACAGTGGGTAGGACTGTCGCTGTCACGCTATCCAGGTTCAAATCTTGGGTAGCCGGGTGACCAAGGGCAAGTCACTTGGCATCTTTCCTGTCCGCCTTTCACCCTCTGTAAAACGGCAGTAATTGTCTGCCCCAAGGGTGGCACCGAGTGTCACCTGCCATTAAGTAACAGGTATTGCGATGTGTGCAGTGTGGTAATGAACCACACTGGCTGTTTTGTGATGGCATGGCCACGCTACAGGAAGGAATGGTAATCGGGCTGTCACTAGAACAGCCCTCAGGACAGGCTCTTGGGACTGAGTGGAAGCGAGACTCCATGAGTCCCCCGTGACACGGCAGTGCTCAGTGTGTGGGGTCAACAGTCTTGGTTTTGTCCACCCACACCTAGTTAGGACTTACCGAATTTCTTTTTTCTTTCTTTCTTTCTTTTTTTTGAGACAGAGTCTCACTTTGTTGCCCAGGCTAGAGTGAGTGCCATGGCGTCAGCCTAGCTCACAGCAACCTCAATCTCCTGGGCTCAAGCAATCCTTCTGCCTCAGCCTCCCGAGTAGCTAGGACTACAGGCATGTGCCACCATGCCCAGATAATTTTTTCCATATATATTAGTTGGCCAATTAATTTCTTTCTATTTATAGTAGAGACGGGGTCTCACTCTTGCTCAGGCTGGTTTCGAACTCCTGACCTCGAGCAATCCACCCGCCTCGGCCTCCCAGAGAGCTAGGATTACAGGCGTGAGCCACCACGCCCTGCTCGAGTTTCTTTGAGTACAGTGTCTTCCTGGGCGGTAGGACGTCACTGTGGATCTTGCTGGGCGGTCGTGGAGCTCGGATGCAATAGTGCCGTGTGTGAAACAGTGCGGCTGAAGAAAAGGGAGCTGCCACCATCACTGTCATCAGAGTATACCCCCAAACCTCCAAAATAATGGGGGGCGGGGAGGTCATTGGTGTCACTCTCCCATTGGGTAATTTTTCTATGCAAATTTGAGACAAGGTTCCCAAACTACTAAGAACTGCAAAGATAAAGGACAACTCATAAACTCAGGAGTACAGAAACCCCAGTAGAGTCTGTGCTTTTGACCTTCAGACTCTGACAGTCTCCAGTTTTCCCCATCATTAACTGACCTTCCCGTTGTCATCCCACTCGTCCTCTGACCGGTGTCCCCAAGTGCCAGGTGATGCTAACTTCCCTCAAGTGCAGCCCACGTGTCTGACGTCTCAGCCATGCCCCCTTCACGAAAGGACTTGCCCTTCGCTTCTGCAGAAACTCTTCAAAAAAAACCCCCAAAACCCTCAGTCTTCTCAGAACACAACCACGAGGGGCCCCTCGTTCCAGGAATCTGTTGATATTTTACATTGATGTGTTCACTGTGTCTTGTGTTTTCCTGTTGTCTTCACATAGTAAAGTATCTGAAGACACTTGATGGTACAGATTCTTTCCTGCTTCCTATGGGGGGGGGGACAATATGCTTTCCATTCTCATGGGTAATTGGTAAATATTGATGGGCATTTGAGGTTTTGAAGTTTCTTTTTATTTAAGAACAGTTTATAAAAATTACAGATAATTCTTAAGAAGAAATCAGCCCATAACTCCACTACCCTGATGTAACTTTTATATTTGCGTATTCCCTTATTCCCTTGTCTTAGTTTATATGAATACATGCAACTTTGTACTCTGATTTTTTTTTAAAGTAAGGTGGCATTTTCATACAATGGAATGCTTATCTTTTCATCAATTCTGACATCTCTATATTCTCATAAAACCCGTATCAGACATAGAACATTCCAGTCATCCCAGCAAGTCCCCTCATGCCATTTTTCCAGTGGATCCTCCCATGCCCCAGAAGCAAATGCTGATATAATTTTTATCATCAAAGGTTCGTTCAGTCTAATCTAGAATGTCACGTAAGTGGAAATGCTCAGCAGCTTCTCTTTGTGTCTGGCTTCCCGCCAGATGA